GGGACAGTGAGGACAGGGAGAGAAGAGGGGGGCCACATAAGATAAATGCCTGCTTCGTGTCAGAGCAGAGGGCTCACTGGGCCAGACAGGAAGGACTTCCAGCCTGTCTGTACAGTAAAACACCAGGAAACATGTCAGGGCCCTACAGGACTTGGTATATGACATTATGAACAGTAATTGCAGGTTAGTGTGTCAGTGACTGCATATCTTATTACGACCTATGATTGACAGAAGCTGATATTTCCATTTATAAATGAATGCTTGAAAAGGCATTATAACCTACCTAAATGCATTAGGGCCCTTCAAAAAAAAAGAATATTCAAGGAGGATGAAGTTTAGTTTACTCCTCAAAGGCATCTCTTTTGGCCCAGGCAATACTGGTAGGCAATAGGCATATGAACATGTTCAGACAGGCTTCAGTAGACACTCACACACCCTTAAAGACCACAGAGTGAACCAGCAGCAGGTAGGGATTAATGTGCTCATGTGAAGCCTTGTCCTGTTTTCCCTTGGGTACACATGAACACCAGATTGAATAATACCTTCATATTGAATCTGTTAAGCTGGTAAATATAGGTACATGGTTTACAGTCTATGGTTATGATGATTGACAGGCGGCATAATGAGTAGCAGGTTTCCACTTGTAAAGGCAGGTGAAATAATGGACTTTTTATAGCTTTGAGGTAAAGGGAAGAAAACAGAAGAAACGCTCACCCTTCTAGGAACATTGACTCTCCTGGAATGACGTATGAGGGATATTCTGATTGTGTGTGAGTGTGTGCGTGTGAGTGTGTGTGTGTGTGAGTGCGTGCATGCGTGTGTGAGTGTATGTGTCCGGCACATCCTCCCTGACCATCTCCCCACACCCACGGTCCAGCTCTCACACCCCCAGCAAACAGCTGGGACTAGTTAGGACGTAGAGAGGGAGGTTAGGGGAGCTAGGGATACAGTACTGTCCCATATATCTGCCCTTGTTTATTCAGAATCCCAGGAAGAGGGAGTAGCGCGGGGGAGGAAGACGGAGTAGCGCGGGGGAGGAAGAGGGAGGAGGGAGGAGTGTGATCCGACCCCCTAAGCTTTTTCTTTACTGTTCTCTCCATCTCCTCCTCGCATCGCGTCTGGACGTGGCGTGCGAGTATCCCGAGAGAGATGGACGTTCTCCCAACCCTACCGAGCTTTTATTCTTTACGTTCCTCCAGCTCCGCAGCAGACGCGGGTACCGGTCGCCATCCTCTGCTGTAAGTCCGCGGGACCAGGGCCTCCACCCAAGCGCTGGTGACCGGCTCCCTCACGTACACCGCACGTCTGCACTCATCTCGTACGAGACCGTGTCCCCAGCGCCCCCGTCATCCTCGGTTAACCGTTCTCCATCTCACGCGCGGATGGGCGGCCTAGAGCCGCTCGCGTCACGCCTGACTCTGGAAGCTCGCCATCAAGCGTCAGCCGCCTATCGGCCGCTCAGATCTCGCTGTACCGGTCGCCCATCCCGCTCGCCATCGATCTCTTACCGGGCTCACCACCCCTCACAGCACGCGTGACCGTGCTCTCCATCTCCCGCTGTCAGCTCTTACAGTCTCCATCCCCCATCTCATTCTCTGGTACCGTTCCCAGATCCCTCTCATCTTCTTTACGTTCTCTCCATCCCTCATCACTCTTTAACCGTTCCATCTCCACTCATCGATACTCTCTTTACCGTTCTACCATCTCCTCATCACTCTTTACGTTCTGCTCCATCTCCTCCTCTCATCCTCTTAACCGTTCTCCCATCGCCGCCTTCATCTCTCTTCAGCACCGTCTCATCTACGCCTCGCATCTCAACTCTGACGTTCCCAGCACACACGTCTCGGATCGCGGCATCCACCTCCACCATCTGCTTACCGGCAGTCCTCCATCTGCAATCATCAGGGCTCTAGACGTTCCTCCATCCCTCAGCTCCATGCTCTCTTAGCTGTTCGTGCGCGACCATCCCTCCTGCGCATCTCCCTAACCGTGTGCTCTCCAGCCCGCCCTCCTCATCTCTCTTTACCGTTCTCCATTCCTCCTCCATCTCTCTACCTTTCCCTATCTCTCTCCTTACCGTTCTCCCAATCTTCCTCTCCATCATCTCTCTTTACCGTTCTCTCCATCTCCTCCTCTCATCTCTCTTTACCGTTCTCTCCATCTCATCTCTCTTTACCGTTCTCTCCATCTCCTCCTCTCATCTCTCTTTACCGTTCTCTCCATCTCCTCCTCTCATCTCTCTTTACCGTTCTCTCCATCTCCTCCTCTCATCTGTCACACTCTGGCTCCGGGACTTGTATTTGAGCCAGGGTGTATTCGTTTTGTTGGGGTTTGTTTTGGTTAGGTTGGGAATAGGGTGTGTTTATTTGGGTGTGTGTGGTTTTGGTTAGTTCTTGTGTAGTCATGTGGACTCCCAATCGGAGGGTAACGAGTGTCAGCTGTCGGCTCGTTATCTCTGATTGGGAGCCATATTTAATCTGTATGTTTTCCTTTGGGTTTTGGTGTTGTTTGTTCCATTTCTGTCAGTATTGCAGAGGACTTCACGAATCGTTCTTGTTTTGTGTTTTGTTCCAGACTTTGAATTATAAAGTCATGTCGCTCAACGCGCTGCGCTTGGCTACCTATTTGGAAGACGATCGGACATCATCCTCTTTACCGTTCCTCCTCCCCTCCCTCCGTTACCGTCTCTCATCTCTCATAGCTCTTTCGTTCCGCCATCTCCCTCCCTCCCTCTTTACCTTCTACCCTCCTCTCCATCCCTTCCTCTCCATCTCGGACCGCGCTCGCCACGGCCTCAGCCGTCCGGGTACGTCGTCCACTCCCGCCACGCGCGCAACCGTGCCGCCAGCTCCCGTCTCGCCTGCGGACGGTCTCCCGCCCCCAGCGCGGACCGGCCCCACTGCCCGCAGCGCCTACCGGTCCGCGCCAGCGCACCGCTCCGCGGACTACGGCCTCTCCATGGCCCCCAGGCCACGTCCCGGACCCGTGCGCAGCCTGTCGCTACCGGCCGGCGCCGCGCCGCCGCACTCCTGGGCCGGCCCCTACGCTCACTCTTGAACGTTCGCTCACGGCCCCGCGCGGCTGATAGCGTCGCCGCAATGCTCCGCCGAGCAGCCTCCTCATCTGTACCCTCTCTCCTCCCCGCCATCGCGCGACCGTTCTCGCATGGCCTCCTCATCTCTCTCACCGTCTCCTCATCCTCTCAGCGCGCGTCACCTCCCACGTCCCTCCGCACGCGGTCCGTGCCACCCGCAGACGGGTCGTAGGCGTCGGCCATCCCCGGCGCAGCGCGCGTGGGACGCATACCGCACGCGTACACGCCGACGGGCGCCAGCGGCGCGGCAGCGCGCGGGAGGGGGGGCGAGGCGGCACCCGCGACGGGCTGGACGTCCGGCACGGCGGCGGCCCCGCACGCCGAGCATCGTCGCCGCTTCTCCCTAATACGACGCGCTCAAGCCTTAGCACCGTGCCATGACCTCATCATCTCTACCGGCCTCCACGTCCCCCGAACGTCCGACCGGGGCCCATCACCTATTACCGACGGCCTCATCTGACCGCTATGCGACGTAGCGTCCCATCGCCCCTTGATGGGACTCGCCACTCCCCGCTCAGCCGGTACCGGTCCCCAGCTCGCCTCTAACGTCTTGAACCGTCCAGCCCCAGCCACTCGTACGGCCCGGATCGCGCAGTCTCTCCGCCGCAACTTTCGCGTCCCGCCCGGTCGCCCTCTATCGATCCCACGCCGCACAACGCGGACCGGGCCCACTCCGTCCGCCCGACCGCCCTATGCCTCCACCTTTCCGCTCTCATCGCTTACCATCGCACGCCTCCCGTCCATCACTCTAATGCGCGTCATCCTCCGATCAGCGCGCGTAAAGGGCTCCCCCATCTACTCGTTACCGTTCGCCTCACGTCCTCCACCCGACCTCCCATCCCTTAAAACGCTCTACCTCCTCAGCTCTCTAAGCTCTTTCCACCTCGCAATCCCCCAGTTCTTTACGCTATCCCGATCCTCCACTCTATCCACTCCTTACCGTCCTCCACGCCCCAGCCTCTAACGTCTTCGCCCCTCCCCACTCGACTCCTCCAAAACCTCTCTCCCGCTACAAGCCCATCATCTATTCTCCAATAAGTTCCATAATACATCCTCTCAATCTCTTTTACCGTTCTCTCCATCTCGTTCTCTCAAACCATTTTACCTTCTCATTCCATCTCTCTTACCGTCCCTCTCTCATCCTTTATCTCACTCTTTACCGTTCTCTCCATCTCCTCCTCTCATCTCTCTTTACCGTTCTCTCCATCTCCTCTTCTGACCATTCGTCAGCAGAAGGGATCGTCAAAGCAAGGCTGCCAGACAAACAGTAGAGAATAGATTCTAGACAAAGATTTAAGACAAAATTCTTATGTCGCCCTTGGCTACGTTGTTCTGTAATCAATCAAATGTATTTATAAAGCCCTTTTTACATCAGCAGTTGACACAAAGTGCTATACAGAAACCCAGCCTAAAACCCCAAAGAGGAAGCAATGCAGATGCAGAAGCACAGTGGCTAGGGAAAACTCCCTAGAAAGGCAGGAACCTAGGAAGACACCTAGAGAGGAACCAGGCTCTGAGGGTGGGCCAGTCCTCTTCTGACTGTGCCTGTAACAGTGATCGTACAGCATAACAAATCAAGAAACAAGATAATCAACTTCCAGTTTTCAGTATAGTAATAATTAGTCTTATGATATGTGAGTCAAGTTGACATGTTGGCAAAATCCTGTCATTGCTTTCAGACAATGAGGGCCCCTAATAAAGATGAGAAGAACACAAACAGCACAAATCAACTGTCCCCTGTCAAGATCAAACTGTAGATTACACAACAGCCACATGTCAGGATCTGTCGGCTGGAGTTTAGTTTCTTAGTTGGTTCCCTCTTACCTCTATAAAAAGAAGAAATGAAGACTGAGAGAAAATATCCTATATGAAGTTCTTCCCTCTTGGCTTTCTTTTAGCCCGCCCTCCCTGCTACACCAGCGTGCTCACACTCACAATCAGACACACCCCTACTCACAAACCACAGTGTCTGCGTTCGGCTCTCCCGTCCCACTCTGCCTCTGTCTCCCTTCCAGTATGCACAGGCGACTGCTCTCTCTCTGGGTGACCGGGGCGCTGCTGCTACCCTTGTGCTGGGGTGAGTATTCACTGACCTTTGAACTGGCTAGAGCACTGGTGGACCTCGGGGTAATTTATCAACAGTGGATCAAAGAGGGCACCACTTACCCCATGCAGGGGTGTTTAAACAGGACACCAAGAGGGAATGTTTGCTATCATCTGAAGCCGGTGCCCAAAGTGAGGATGGCTGAACTGTTAGACAGGGTCAGGATGAGGGTTAGGGTATGGTTTGGAGGAGGCATTATGCCCTGGGCATTCCTAGAAACAATATCTAGTGCACTGTGGAGCAGTTTTAAATAGCCACGTACAGTGTTGTTGTAACCCTACTGCGGGCAGTGATGACTTTTCTCAGGCACCAGCTGATACGTTTTTCTAGAGAGAAAATAATCAAGGAGCTCTGTGGATCCCCTGTGGACTCCACCCGGCTGCTTTTTCTGTGGATGTACTTTTTTTCCCCCATCCAGCCAAAGTATACACTTACAATGCTGGGGAAGGCCTGGGGAAGGCCTCCAACAAACCACCTTGTCTTTGTTTAGTCTTACTCTTTCTTGTTGTTGGTCGTGTTTTGGCTGCTGTCTCTGGGAGTCTGTCAGATGCAGACGTTTGTCTTTATTGGTATGTGGAGTTTGCGAGAAGCACGCTTCTAGCGCTGTGAGAGTTTCGTTCCATGCTGGTCGTTAACTGTTCTGTTGGGTGATTCATACTGCTGTAAGAAACAGACCAGACGACAGACCAGAGGAATTATTCAATTTGCTAGCTATAACTTACCATAGCTTTTAGCAGTGATGCATGTTTTATAGTCTGTCAAGGTCTTACAAATTCTATCGCTTGATATTAAAAAGCATTGTAGACAAGCCACTTTATTTAAGTAAATGAAAACATCTCTACTGCGATATGATTTATCAAGAGGAAGTCCACCTGTTGTCTTGCCATTCTGTATCATATCTAAGACACCGGCTCATGGAGCATGAAAGGAAAATAAACAAAGTGAACCTGCAGGAGTGCAGGAGATGCAAGTCCTGAGAGAGAGATACTGTACATGGACAGGGGTCATTCAAAGGTCCACCGCACTCAGAATAGAGCCATAAGATGTTTTCTGGGAGTATATAAGTTTGCCGCCCCAAGCCTTGCTATTCAAGGAGACATGGGATAGGAGCCCTGTGAAATAAGACTGAGGGGTGAAATGATTAGGTTATGGAACCACCTTATCAATATGCCAGAAGACTGAATAACAAAAAAGGTTTTCAATTGGGATAAAACACACAAATTACCCTTGGACAAAGGATCTCAATGCCATATTTATGGAAGCTGATGTACAACACATATTTATAAATAAGTAATGATGCAATGTCAACATGATCAAATACAAGTTAACCCTTAGTTACAAAGAAAAATGGTCGACTCAGACATGGCTAAAACCCAAACTCTAATAAATAAATAAATAAATAAATAGTGAACGGATCAGCTTGTCCGAAGCACCCGAACACCAGCCGGAGGCATGATATTAACAGACCAGAGGCAGTTCAGGTTCTGGTTCCTTTTCTTTTGTATTGTTACTGAACAGGATTTCTTTCGCCCGACAAAATAATTCCAATACAGGGTAACGTCCAACGCTCAAACAACAGCGTAACAAAAAAATAAACAAACTAAGCCGTTGACCAAAAGGCCGTGGCCCAAAACGAGAAAGCAAAACAACAAACGGCTACTCCTGTCTTTAGACTATCTATCGTCTACACATACAGTTACAGGAGGAACGCTTTGCTCTTTCTATAGTCTGCCTTGGTTAACAGAGAGGAAAGGTGCCCCAGGCGAAGAAGCTTTCTCTGAGGTAGGCCAATACGACGTCCTCACAGGTCCCCGTCTCTACTCCCAATCCTTCCTCAGCTCCTCTCCTGGCACACCTATATAGAGGAAGACACCAAGCAATTAGTGAGCCCAGCTGTGTGTTAAGTGGCTTTACACTGAGTACCTATCCCCTGGGGAGGGTGCTGTTGTGTCGTCTTCCTCTGGCTGGTCACTGAACTCTCACTATATATATATATATATATATATATATATATATATATATATATGAGTGTACAAAACATTAGGAACACCTTTCTAATATTGAGTTGCAACCCCTTTTGCCCTCAGAACAGCCTCAATTCGTCGAGGCATGGACTCTACAAGGTGTCCAAAGTGTTCCACAGGGATGCTGGCCCATGTTGACTCCAATGCTTCCCACAGTTGTGTCAAGTTGGCTGGATGTCTTTTGGGTGGTGTACCATTCTTGATATGCACGGGAAACTGTTGAGCGTGGAAAACCCAGCAGAGTTGCAGTTCTTTACACACTCAAACCGGTGTGCCTGGGACATACTACCATACCCCATTTGTCTTTCCCATTCACCCTCTGAATAGCAGACATACACAATGCATCTCAATTGTCTCAAGGCTAAAAAATCCTTCTTTAACCTGTCTCCTCCCCTTCATCTACACTGATTGAAGTGGATTTAACAAGTGACATCAATAAGGGATCATAGCTTTCACCCTGATTCACCTGGTCAGTCTACGTCATGGAAAGAGCAGGTGTTCTTGATGTTTTGTATACTCATTATATATACATTTGATATATATATATATGATTATTTGGTTTGGCTACAGAAAATACATGTGGGCTGGGCAATCTTGAAGATGCATGACACTATAATAATAAAATGAATCAAATCATCCACAGATACCCTTGATACTGTCATTCATTGCTTGTACACAAGTCATGTACAGGCTGTGCCTTTGTTACGCTCGTTGTGTTACTTTGTTTGAGTTTTGCTTTACAGTTACAGTTGACTGGACTATGTTCCAGCACACAGAGGAGATTGAGAGAAAGGGTGATATCTATAAACCTCAGTTACTATCTGACAGTATTGGAGTGAGTGAATGCATGGCACAGGGCTTCAACAGACCCTATCTGATTTGGTTGTAGTGCAGAGAGAGTCAAACAGTGCCTATGCTCATCAGGGACTGGCCTCCTGTATCTGGCATCGATCATACAGTTAAGGGAAAATCACCTTTCAATGTACTCAACACAGAAATATAATGAACAGAATCTAACAATGTGGGGCATTGAAATTGTTTATTTTTCTGTTTTTCATTTAGATTAGAAAAAATGTAGGTGCTTGATTATTATCTATCAGTGAACATGTTTACAAATTAAGTATTGCATCAAATTTGATCAATTTATTGCAGACTACTCCCTGATACATAAATACTGTAATGCTGTGGTATAGAATAAAATCCTGAGGGATTCAAGCCAGTGAGTGTCAGCCTCTCTGTACACCAATTCAAGATGTAGCATGCCTAGAAGATGACCTTTCTAAGTTGTCATGCTGAGTTGGCCAGTGAACATCTGTCATTCTCCCTCCAAGTGCCTCTCTGCATGTCCTTTGGTTGGCCATCACTCTGGGAGATCTTATCAAAGCAGCCCAGATAATTTATTGGGGTAGGAGCTTGGGAAGGAAACTGAGGATTGGGGTAGCAGAGCAGGGCTAATGTTTTCTCCATGTGTTGGAGCAGGTTCTCGGAAGGACAGAAACTGAAGCCTTGTGGGGTGTTACACTGATGATGGGCCAGTGGTGGATTACAACTGAGCTCTGATGGTGGTGAGAACTCAAGACACCACAGACTTTACCTATGGGAGTGGTGAATAAAGCTCTTGAAGGCCGTCCTCATATAGCCAAATAAGACAATACAAAGGTTATTGATTACAGTGATAGTAGTGATGATGAAGACCTTTAGGGGATTCTGGAGAACATGGGGTTTTAGCAGCCCATTTGACCAGAAGCAAAACCCACTTCTCCTTATCATGTCAGCGGATTAGGAGAAGTCACCTGATTTACAGTTGGAGAGTAGTAGCGTTTCCCTAAATCATCCTTCCAATGGTCTGAGTGCAGAAACCGATGCAAGACGTGACATGTTGCAGTCTGTGGTTCTGGGAAGTTGTTGAAGAACCTGTGGTTGACTCTCATCATAGAGAGTGTAATTGTAAACACTCTCCAGTGCCAGTAGGGTACGGCTGCCAAAGTGTTAGCAGACTTTCAATGTGAGCTGTTTCAGCTTGTTGTCGAGACAAGAGTATACAGGCTCCTCCTATCAAATCAAAACTGATCATCAGGTTACCGGGATGAGTGAAAACCAACAAGACCAACTTACCCACAGCGACAAAGCATTGAGTTATTTTTTTCATATTGCAAAAACTGTTTAATAGTACATGGATCAAAGGAGGTTGGTGGCACCTTAATTGGGGAGGACTGGAGCGGAATCTCCCGAGTGGCGCAGTGGTCTAAGGCACTGCATCGCAGTGCTAGCTGTGCCACTAGAGATCCTGGTTCGAATCCAGGCTCTGCTGTAGCCGGCCGCAACCGGGAGACCAATGGGGCGGCGCACAATTGGTCCAGGGTAGGGGAGGGAATGGCAGGCAGGGAGGTAGCTCAGTTGATAGAGCATGGTGTTTGCAACGCCAGGGTTGTGGGTTCATTTCCCACGGGGGGCCAGTATGAAAATAATAATGTAAGTCGCTCTGGATAAGAGCGTCAGCTAAATGACGTAAATGTAAATGTAAAATGAATAGGTGGAATGGTATCAAACACATGGTTTCCATGGTTTCCATGTGTTTGATGCCATTCCATTTGCTCCTTTCCAGACATTATTATGAGCCGTCCTCCCCTCAGCAGCCTCCACGGACATGGATCCATACTTGCATTCTTGCAGCACACTGGAGGAATGTTTGGGACTTTTCCCAGAAACCTGGTGACTGGATTAGAAACTCTCATCAATAGCATTGCAAGGTGTTATTTATTTGATCATTATTACTATTAGAGTGCTGGAACTTCCCTTTTGTATTTGTGTAGGGACTTCCAGATTTCTGGAAAGAGCTGGTTGCCTTTATGTTACTCACTTGGAAAGTCTAATCATTGTAAGATGATTATTTTGTCCCACTAAGGTTCCTTCCTGCCATTGTGTTTGAGACCTGTGACCAAGAGAGAGAGAGAGGTCAGGAATATCCCCCCTCACACACCTCAAATATGATTTTGTGAGAGTTCCCATCCCTAACTTTCAGCCAAACCCCTCTCTTTGCTATGTCCATGTTGTGTGTGTCTGGCATTGGTACAGTAGCAGCAGCCAGATCCCCCTTTCTGCCCTTCAATTCCCCATCAGGACTGTCCCCACATGACCCACCATTAGATCTTTAGGTCTGAAGGGCAGACATTTCCTCTTACGTTCATTTAAGCTTTTTTCATGAAGTTTAGTCTATCATGCAGGCCATGTGGTTGAATAAGATGGTGGTAAAGCCATACTGTGCGGTCGACCTCTCATTTCTTGAGCATGTTTGTCAACCAACTCTCCAAGAGCATTTTATTACCTCTGCAATTATTGAGAAATTGTTTGATATATCTCAAGCTCAATATGTGGCCCTAAATCATAGGACAGGAAATCGCTGTCTCTAAAACATATCCAAACGTTCATACGGCCATTCACATGTGGCCTTGCTCAACCAAGGATTTCACAAGACATGTGACATCTCGTTTCACCAGCCGAGGAGATTCCACCAGGGAAACCTGATGCTTATTGTTTCACACCAGTCTGCTCTGCATGGTGTCACAGTGTAGTTCACTGTTCTGCAGTTTACCCTTGGCTGTCATCTACTGGTATAGACTCTGATGTTCCAGATCCTCTGTGTATTGTCCTGCTGCCAGCTCCAGGATGTATCCCCCTGGGGGCCAGACCTCCCTCCTGCCTCCATACGGTTTCATTGTTCTCCTCTGCTGTGTCTCTGCTCCATAACTCACAGGAGATGTCTCTGTTTGTCCTGGGCAGGGAAGATGAGGTGTAACTCCTGAGAGTTTATTTCTCCCCTGAGGCACACCAAACAAATGAGGTGGGGCTCTCCAAACTCAGAATCCACCTTTAACGGAACAAGGGCTTTTGTTTGCGTGCAAATAACACACCACGTAATTCACATGTTGGGTGTATCTGATATGTTTGTAATAGGAGATGTTGAGGAGATCAATGACATGGAATGTAGTTCAGTGAAAGACATGATGGGATATGAGGTGTGATATAGATGGCTTTTAGTTTCAGGGCTGACCAGGTGTTTGGTAATAGCATTTCACTCTCTTCCCTTCTTCCACAGCAAACCAAGAGGACTTTGAGGAGGAAATTGACGACTATTCTACCCAAACGCCAGACTACGACTACAACGCCACCTTTGATTACGAAATGTTCAGTAAGCCAGTTAACCAGATATGCTAGTTCAAATGATACGTTGAATGCACCAATTTGTAAGTCGCTCTGGATAAGAGCGTCTGCTAAATGATGTAAATGTAAATGTGTTAATGTGGCCTCACTTTGTGATTTTCCTCACCAACATCGTTGATGTCTGTCTTCTTTGAAGGTAATACCACCGGCCATGAGGAGGACTATAGTTCGTATGTAATTCTAGGAGGAAAGAAGAATGTGGAGGAGAAAGATCTTGAGAATAAGGTACAGTATGTTTGGCATTATGGATGCTTCCTATCTCAGCACACACAACTAATTGACATCCCCATCAATGTATAAAATGAAGGAAAACCCATTGTTTTGGATAAGGTCTGCAGACTGAAAGCAAATCTATTTTGTTTCCATTTGTCAGTATGTCTGATTCTGTCTAATGTCCCTAATGCTTCTCATCTAATATGGCAGCTTCTCCATGTCATACAGTGGTGTGTTACTGTATTGTAAACGTGATGATGTATAACCAAATGTAAACGTTAATGTCCATGGACTCCCTCGTCCTGTCATGCCTCCATGATATGACCACAAAGCAAACTGTTGGAAAAAAATATTTTTGACCAAATACAATGCTATTTCTCTGTAAACAAATTGACAACAGACTTTTAGCATGCTTATAGAGAAGGGCACTCAACATGTACTACAATGACACAAATTACTGATGATTGGTTGAAATAAATTGATAATTAGAAGATTGTGGGAGCTGTACCGTTAGATTTCAGTGCAGCCTTTGATATTATTGAACTTTTTTTAATGGCTTTTCAACCTCTGCCATATCGTGGATTCAGAGCTATCTATCTAATAGAACTCAGAGGGTTTTCTTTAACGGAAGCTTCTCTAATGGTGTGGTGTACCACAGGGAAGTTCTCTAGGCCCTCTACTTTTTTCTATTTTTACCAATGACATGCCACTGGCATTAAACAAAGTCAACTTTCAACCATATACGTGTCAGCAACCACAACTAATGAAGTCAGTGAAACAAAGAGTTGCAGTCAGTTTTGGAATTGGTGGCCAGTAATAAACTGGTCCTGAACATCTCTACAAATCATTCCCTAAGCTCTAGACGTCATCTGAATCTGTTAATGAATGGTGTTGGCTGTTGAACAAGTTGAGGAGACTAAATGACTTGGTGTTACTTTAGATTGTAAACTGTCATGGTCAAAACAATGATTGTAAAGATGGGGAGAGGTCTGTCCGTAATAAAGAGCTGTTCTGCTTTTTTGACACCACACTCCACAAAGCAAGTCATGCAGACTCTAGTTTGATCTTATCTTGATTATTGTCCAGTCATATGGTCAAGCGCTGCAAATAAAGACCTAGTTAAGCTGCAGCTGGCCCAGAACAGAGCGGCACGTCTTGCTCTTCATTGTAATCAGAGGGCTAATATTAATACTATGCATGCCTGTCTCTCCTGGCTAAGAGTTGAGGAGAGACTGACTGCGTCACTACTTGTTTTTATAAGAAACATGAATGTGCTGAAAATTCCAAATTGCTTGCATAGTCAACTTATGCACAGCGCTGACACACACACATATCCCACCAGTCATGCCACCAGGGGTCTTTTCATAGTCCCCAAATCCAGAACAAATTCAAGAAAGTGTACAGTATTATATAGAGCCATTATTGCATGGAACTCCCTTCCATCTCATATTGCTCAAATGAACAGCAAATCTCTTTTCAAAAAACAGATAAAGCAACTCCTCACGGCACAACTGTCACGGATTCAGCCGAGGCTGCCCCTCCTCCTTGCTCGGGCAGGCTTCGGCGTTTTTCATCCCCGGAGTACTAGCTGCTACCGATCTATGTTTCTGTGTTTGACTTGTTTGGTCTTTATTGTGTACACCTGTTTCCCATTATGTTGTATTGTCTTCCCTATAATACCCTCTGTCTTTCATTGTGTGTTGTGTGTGATTGTATTCGTCATCGGCAGTAGTTCGTGTGCGGGTTGTTTTCCTCCCTGTGTGGAGGTTGTTTATACTCTGGTTACTTTCGAGTAAAGTACGTTTCCAGTAAGCTCTGTGACCTGAGTTTGACTTCGCCTACCGCATTCACTGACGCTCTGACAACAACGCCTCTCCCCTATTTGACCTAGATATTTTGTGTGTATGTATTGATATGTAGACTTGGTGTGCTGTTTTTAAATGTGTGTAGTTCTGTCCTTGAGCTGTTCTTGTCTATTAATGTTCAGTATTATGTCATGTTTCATGTTCTGTGTGGACCACAGGAAGAGTAGCTGCGGCTACTGGGGATCCTAATAAAATACCAAAAATACCATAATCATTGTAATCCCTCACCGAACACTGCTTTTTTACCGTTCCAAACGTCTCTATCTGGGCCTCCATATATAGATTTGTCACGTTTGAGCAGGAAAAATGTATTTCAGTAAACACAAGGGGTAAATAATGCTGAACTGTCACATAGTTCCAGCATTCACAGAGACAGGAGGTCTCTGCATGAGGAGCAAACCTGCCAAGACAGCGATGAAACATGCAAACACTAAACCCAGTGAAGAATGTTCTTATAACACTTGGTTTCCATTCTGCAGCTTATCATGTTCTAATGACCTTTTACTGACCCCTATCAGGCTTTAGCGATTGGCTCCCCATGCCCAGCGCTCCTCCTCGGATTGGCTGCTCACCAACTCCATCGATTACTGTGAATGAGAACGAGCACTGCAGAACATACACAGGTACACAACTTTCTTTAAATTTATTTGTCTTTCTCTGTAGCTCAATTGGTAGAGCATGGCGCTTGTAACGCCAGGGTAGTGGGTTTGATCCCCGGGACCACCCATACGTAAAAATGTATGCGCACATGACTGTAAGTCGCTTTGGATAAAAGCGTCTGCTAAATGGCATATTATTATTATTATTATTTATTTCTCCCTTCTCCTCAATACTATGCAGGTTGCAGGACATAATGAACGTGGAAAAGTGCCGTGCATTGATAGTACACAGGGCACAATTGGCCCAGCGTCGTCCAGGGTAGGGGAGGGAATGGCCGGCAGGGATGTAGCTCAGTTGGTAGAGCTTGGTGTTTGCAACGCCAGGGTTGTGGGTTCAATTCCCACGGGGGGCCAGTATAAAAAAATATTTACAAAAAAAATAAAAAATTATGCACTCACTAACTGTAAGTCGCTCTGGATAAGAGCGTCTGCTAAATGACTAAAATGTAAATGTAATTGGTACACAAGTACACACTAGGAAGTTAACCCAGGACCTTCAGGTCAAAGGTCAAATACCCTGACCACTTTATTGGCGACTCCCATCATTCATAGGCTCATAGCCATAAAGATATCTCTCTCAAGACATTCATGTGAAGGCCCCAAATTGGACGAATGCCGAAGGGCACCTATGTAACCATAAGTTTTCACCCCGTCTAGAATTGAAGGGTCTTGAAAATAAACAAAGTTAATTGCTGACAATTTCCTTTGAAAAAGCTTTTTTTAATGATTTGGAGACAGGGTCATAAACCTCTTGTTTATTTTCTCCACTAATATGTGTTTCTCAATTCTCACAGATACTCAGGACCCTGAACTGAGCAGAGTTACCCAATATTCTGGAACTGGACTGAGCAGAAAACTGACCCAATATTCTGGAATTTTACATTTCTATGGATCAAATGGACACAGCATGAGATACTCCACCACTGACTTTCTATGCTATAGTTGGAAAAACACATAGTATATCCTTAATCCTAACTTGTGAAATAAGCCCATAACTTGAATTTAAAAAAATCTCCCACAAGAATATTTGAGTTGTATGCACGTCTCAAGTTGTAAGATGTGTCCCTTAGAGTAATAATAGCACAAAGCCAGTATACACCACATATTCCATCTTGTTTTGACTTTATACAAACTAAATATGTATATTATACATGCTGTTTGTATCTTTTAATACATATTTTCCAAGCATTTGTTGTTTCTGTTCAATATTCTGTTATGAAAATATAATGCTTTCCACAACCATGGTAGCTTTTTCTATTCTCTATGGTCAATGGTTTATGGACTATGGTTTAAAGATCTGCAGATGTGAAATACGACAACCCATGTATTAGTAATAGGGTTCTAATTATCTTCCCTGCCCTAGAAAAGCATTTGAGAGAATAATATGTTAACAATAAAACAGAGAAATCCCCAATGAGGTGTAAGGAGGCTTTATAGCCATGATCTGTTTATTTGAGTTCCTTTTGTATTCTGACATGATCTCAGAGACAGTATTGTTCTTTCTGAACAACAGCCAAGAAGCGGTGAGGATGAGATGACTGTATTAATGCATTCTGGGATGGGGCCTGCACAGGGGTAGAGGGATGGGGCCGGGCCTGCACAGGGGTAGAGGGATGGGGCCGGGCCTGCACAGGGGTAGAGGGATGGGGCCGGGCCTGCACAGGATAGAGGGATGAGGCCTGCACAGGGGTAGAGGGATGGGGCCGGGCCTGCACAGGGGTAGAGGGATGGGGCCGGGCCTGCACAGGATAGAGGGATGAGGCCTGCACAGGGGTAGAGGGATGGGGCCGGGCCTGCACAGGATAGAGGGATGAGGCCTGCACAGGGGTAGAGGGATGGGGCCGGGCCTGCACAGGGGTAGAGGGATGGGGCCGGGCCTGTACAGGGGTAGAGGGATGGGGCCGGTCCTGTACAGGGGTAGAGGGATGGGGCTGGGCCTGCACAGGGGTAGAGGGATGGGGCCGGTCCTGTACAGGGGTAGAGGGATGGGGCTGGGCCTGCACAGGGGTAGAGGGATGGGGCTGGGCCTGCACAGGGGTAGAGGGATGGGGCTGGGCATGCACAGGGGTAGAGGGCAGTGGTGGAAAAAGTACCCATACTTGAGTAAAAGTAGAAACACTACTATAGTAGAAACACTAGTCTAGTAGGAACACTAGTCTACATAATGTCTGGTATGGGATCCCTCAGGGCAGATATTTAGGAGTTATGAGATGGTTGTGTGCAGTGCAGATGGTTTTGCTGAAGCTTTGATACAATCTTGTTTTACATTCCTTCTCGTTAATCTGTTGGCAATATGTGCTATTCATAAAACGAGTGAGACCATGGGAGGAAAGAGGTAGGTCAGTGTGACTGATGAAGCAGGCAGCAAAGAAAAAGAGCACAAAATGCCATCTTCATTCTCTCTCTCTCCCAACCCTACAGAGGTTTTACCTAAAATTGCATGACGTCATGACATGGAACTCCTTAGATGATACATGTCTGAGATCCTTGCCCTCTGACGTTACCGAGGTATTTAATCCATCTAAATAAGGAAAAGATTACATCGGGGGAAGTCAAGAGATTATGTAACCGGACTACAGCAGAGGCGGACTGGCCATCTGGCATTTTGGGCAAATGCCAGAAGTGCTGGTCCATTTTTAGCACAGTGGGCCTGTCTAACTTGTTTTTCTTTTGCGCAAAATGATAATTATCTGGCTAATAATAGGGGTCTCGAAAAAAAACATGGGCCGATGTGGGGGGCTCAAGGAAAATAATGGGCCAGTGTGTTAGAAATGCCAGGGCCGATTTTTGGTCCCAGTCTGCCCCTGGCCTACAGCAATAATAAGGTGATTTACTGTATTTAGTGGGACGAATGAAATGTAATCTCACTCACAAAATGGTGCCACTTTCCCATGGTCACAGTGGGGTTGGATCGCAAAGAGCCAAAAAGTCTCTGTCAATACGTTTAAAAACATGCGTTTTAGATCATATGTATGCTTATCTGTCACTAGGAGTCTACCTTTGGGAAATCCATGCAATCCAATTAATTAAAACAACAAAGACACAGTATGAAAACAAACATGTTGTCCTTGCATCTTCCTCGTGGTTTATTTCTGTAGCCTACTAGTCTGCTATACAGGGATTAATGACATAAAGGGACGTCTGTGTGTGACTTCTTTACTAGATGGGTGTCTGATAAGAGGCTAAACCCAGATGACCAAATCAACCCGCGGGTGTCTTTTCAGCACCTTGGACAGCGCCTTCCACTACAAGCGCAGTGCATAGGTTATCTGCCTCTCTCTTGACCAGACACTAGATCATCTGTTCCACCTAGCCCTAGGGGGGGAACCACAACAACTAGAAACAGACATGGCAAAATCAGCAGCTATCTTGCTGGTGTTCGTTTACTTTTTGTACATCCTATCTCAATCAGCCCATGTGGTTGCAGGATGGACAGAGGAAAGGCTACCAAAGGCTGAAGTTACAGAGGACTCTAGGGAACTGGTGAGTAACCTGCTATAGTAATACATATTAGTTGAGGGAACAATACAATTAAGGAATGCTATTGACACTATTTGATCACATAGGCCTATCATACTGTACATTCATAGTGGGCCATTGCAATTTACCAATAAACATGGTCTATTGTGAGGCGACAGATTTGTAGGGCCATTTCAATACAGGTTAATACAGCTTTTTCTCTGTGTGTGTTGCAGCTGGGTGTCCTTCATAACGGCCATAGAGAAACTCCAAAACCGAAGAATGGCTGTGTGGGAAAGAAGACAAAGCCACCTTCCTAGTGTAAGCAAGCTATTTCAGACACCACAGGTGAATAGTTGAATAGGTGATCGATTTCCCAAATGTGTGGGTCAGACCCTCTGGTGGGTTGTGGGGGCTCCTTTTGGATTGCGGGTCAAGACTACATTCTTGCTAGAACATTCTTGCTAGAACATTCTTGCTAGAACATGTTCTGGGAGATAAAAAATAAACACTCCAAAAGCTTATGCTGTGTCACTTTTTTGAAGACCATTGGAAACTACTAAAGAAACAAACTCTCAAAGGATTCTTTTCAGAACTGATTTAGATTATACTCAGCCTTTCGAGTAACTAATGGGTACATTTAACCCCACGACTAGATGGAGTTTTTCCCTCTGGATGAATAATATTCTGTAGAATAAACAATAAAACATGAAGATAATAAGCAGATGGAACTTTGAGCTGTGTTTATGTTATGAAGTTCTTAGAAAGAGTTGTACAGTTGCAAAAGCCTACAAAAGCCAGACCATCTTGTAGGCTACTAATACGAACTGTGATGGGATCAGTGCTGTCTTATGGCGACATCTAGTGGCCAAGGTACTTAAAAGTATCACGTCAACTTCCCCTTCCTTGTGAATATCTCATTTGGAAAATTCTACCATATCAATTTTGTTCTATTTTCTTTCCAGTGTAATGTTGGTGACTACTGCACAGTGAAAAAGGGAGCACGGTACGGCCAACTATGTGACTGTCCAAGAGGCTCAAAGTGCAACCTCTTCTTCCTCAAGTGTTTGTGATGTATATTTGTTATGGTAATAGTTCATTTATTTTTGTCTGAATAGTGTAGGATTTAGATATTTTGCTTTGCTATCTTCTAATATATATACTTCTTCTGACCTGTTTCATTCAAGTGTTCTTTGTTTAATTTGCCTCTAATTTTACCATTGTTTGTTGTGCATTCAGCACAGATATAAAGAACGTAAGCTCTGTAAATATGAAAAAGAGCCTATTTTTCTATGTACATTTTGATTGATAAACTGTCCAATTCCTTTCACAACTTAATCAGAAAAAAGCACAATTATATTCACTGCCTAAAAAAAACATTGGGCACATACCCAAACAACTGTTTTTTTGATTGGTCATAAATAGAAAGTGCAATAAATTGTAACATTTGTTGCACACTTACAGCAACATAATAATTAGGAATAGTGTTAACTGAGCTGTAAGAAATCGGAAGAACCATCTTATGACTAGTGTGTAACCAAAAGGAAACGCTTGTCAAATGACACCATAAATAGATACGTATAGTTTAGACAGACCTGAATTTCACACACAAATGTGATTGACCAATCATTGGTAAATACACCATAGGCACTTTGATCACAGACAACAACAAAAAAAATCTCTGTATTACAGCATCCAGTGTAGCTGCCAATACCGATTATTCAGAAAGTAATCTTTAAATGAAAATACTGTATATCCTCAACAATATGACATAGGCCTAGATATTTGTAGTATTCGTCTCTCTGGTTGGACCAACTCAGTTATTATGGTGACAATGAAGACAATGTGAGAGACATTGTCAGAAAGTGAGACCAAGTTGACATGTTCAAATCCCCAAAACAGACACATGGAATAGGTAGGCAGGACTATACTCTAATCACAGACACAGAAACAATATTAACTATGACAATGTTGTGCTGCAACCTTACTAACCTGTGGTCCTCTGTAGCTCAGCTGGTAGAGCACGGTGCTCGTAATGCCAAGGTAGTGGGTTCGATCCCCGGGACCACCCATACGTAAAAATGTATGCACGCATGACTGTAAGTCGCTTTGGATAAAAGCGTCTGCTAAATGGCATATTATTATTTATATTATAACCTTACTGGAGTAATGACTTGAACACATTGTAAGATTAATTCAAACCAATAACTATTGTGCAGTGTATGGGTCATACTTACACATCGACATTTCACAAATAAGGCCTCAACAAGACATGGGATCAAAATGGAATACTGATCCCAAAAGAGATACCAAGGTGCAAGTGCTGCCATTCAAGTCCTTCGAACATTTGAGTGTGGACAAGCGCCGGCCAACAGCATCCAGTCTCTATATGGATAGGATCTGCCTGCGGACCTTTTCAGAGGCCAGGTGGTCCAGGGTTCTCTGACGAGCTATAACCACCAGGACCAAGACTACCAGGAAACCTCCAGAATAGGCTCTCCTCCATCCGAGAGGATCGGCAGCTGAGAAAAGAGAAAGATAGAATTGTAGTCGGACCTGAACTGGCGGTTGCAGTAGCATCAATTTAGGAAAATATTCAAATAAAAATGGACAAAAAAGGAGGTAGGCTACCTCTTGTATTCAACTTTGTTGGACTTTGCACAGTTGATCTTTACTATGAATCCAGTTCTGTCACATGGTGCCCATGATTTCTAGAGGAGACAAAGACATGAGAGGGGATGCCATACTTTAGATGTGTTATTGATTTGTATTAGTCTCCTGAGTGGCGCAGTGGTCTAAGGCGCCACATCGCAGTGCCAACTGTGCCACTAGAGATCCTGGTTCGAATCCAGGCTCTGTCGCAGCCGGCCGCGACCGGGAGACTCATGGGCGGCGCACAATTCGTCCAGGGTAGGGGAGGGAATGGCCGGCAGGGATGTAGCTCAGTTGATAGAGCATGGTGTTTGCAACGGCAGGGTTGTGGGTTCGATTCCCACGGGGGGCCAGTATTAAAAATATATAATGTATTCACTAACTGTAAGTCGCTCTGGATAAGAGCGTCTGCTAAATGACTAAAATGTAAATGTATTATAGTGCTCAAGAAAATAGGAATTATCTTAACCCTCACCATCTGAAAGGGGTTGCACCGTGCACACTGTCAAAATCCTCTTGCCAGCAATGAAGGGATGTTGTGCTTATCTCTGCAAATAAAGACATAACAATAGCTAGAAACTTCAATGTTAGGTTTTAGTGTAATAGCTAGGTCTATAACTACTGGCCAAACTATTATAGCTACCCGAGCTGTATTTAAGTGTTATATAACTAGCTATGGGTCTACCTGTAGAGTAGTCCTCTCCTGAAATATGTGGGGTTCTATTTTCTCATAATTGGATCTGTATGTGATGAATAGCTTAGAAGGAATTAATTAATGATAAGCATAGGTTTGTACTATACTGATATAAATTGTTTCACATAACAGGCTGTGATTCATGTGAGGAACGTTAGGGGGTAGGATGAGATAAGAACTTGTGTCTCAAAATACTAGACTACACTGCTTCTTTGTGATCTGTGAACCGTCCAAGGACATGGGTACTGCAAAAAAGTGCTGACTCTACAGGTTGTTATGATAACAACCAGTGGCGGCTCCTGAAAAAATTCTCAGGGGGGGCAATTTTTCTGATGATTTAGGTGACCTACACACATTTTAAAAAAGATATGTCCAGCAACAACATGAAGACAGGGGCAGCATATAAGTCAATACTGATATACACATTACTTGCTTCAAAAAGGCACATAATTCACAACAAGCAAGCAGGAGCTTTTGATAGAGGCTACTGAAAACATTGATGCAAGTTATTGGTAATAAGAAATGTTTATAGACTTCCATATTCTGCCCTCTTGTATAGATTTGTGAAAATGAACAGTGATAGACATTTTGCCTGAAAACAGAATTTGAAAATAATTTCTAGAAAAGGTAAACACAGCTATCTGTATGGCTTTGTAAAAATGAACAACCATATTCTGGCCAATTGTATAGATTTGTAAATATGAACAACCATATTCTGGCCAATTGTATAGATTTGTAAAAATGAACATGAACAGATTTTTTTTTTTTTTTACTTTAAAAAAAATGAAAAATAACTATTTTAAACAACATCAACTGTGAACTGATTTGGGCGTGTGTGTATTAAAGAGACAGACAGGGAGGGACAAAGAGAGAGAGAGGCTACATTACTTGTACTGAAACTGTTCTCTTCTCTCTTTCAATGCAGCAAAGCGGTCAATGACTTTCTCATTGAAATCAGGCATGCTGAGGACTAGTTCCCTCTCCATGGAAAGCATGGCCAGTGTTCACGACTCTGCTGTTGAAGTTCCACCGTGTGGATGAAGGTCTGGGCAGTCTTCGTGCAACAGTCTGGTCAAGAATGCTGGTGCGTTTGGGTGACCGGGAAAAAAAAGTTGCAATCCCGCTCAGATCGGAAAAGAAAATGTTCACTTTTTTGATGCTTGCTGCATGATCAAATTCAGCTGATGCGCATAGCAATGCACGTAATGGGCATTCTTGAAATGCTCACGCACGTTTTGCTGCACACCAGCCTTCTCTCCCCTCATCACACTGGCTCCATCGTAAGCTTGCGCAATGAGTTTGACTTTCTCGTCGTCGGCAAAAAGACCGTTCAGTCTCTCCAAAAGCACACTGGCGATTGAGACTGAGGTTGATTCCGAGATGGGAAGGAACTCAAAAAAGCGCTCCTGCACTTTGTGGTTGCTATCTATGTACCTCAGCACAAGCACAAGCACCAGCTGTGTCTGTGTAGAAACGTCCGTGGTCTCGTCAGCTTGGATAGCTACGAAGTTCGCCGACTTCACCTCCTCCACAATATGTTCCCTCATGACCGCTAGCATACACTCCAGTAGCTCGTTTTGAATGGTCTTTGATGTGCCCTTGAAAACTTTAGCATTTTTAAGATGGTCATCAAACACCTCATCTAATTGTGCCACAAAGTTGACAAGTCCAATAAAAATACCAGGGTTGGTGGAGCCCTCAGTTTCATCTTTGCATCGCAAAGCTAACTCAAACACTCCGCAAAACTTCACACACTGGATTAGCCGGCTGAGGATGTGGCGGTTCTTGCTAACCTCATCGTTGTGGCGGACAGCTAGCCTGTATCCCTCATCCAGTTGAGTGGCAATGTTCACTCTCCCCAAAGCAGACAATCTCAAACAGCTATCCATGTGGGTCTTTGACAGCTCATGTTTCTTAATCTTTTCTGAAAGATGGTGCATGTCCGTTACACCAGTCGCTGTCCAAGCGGTGCTGTCTGCCGTGCCGCCTTCAGGGTGAAAGAGTAAGCAGGGGTAGCAGAAGACTGCATTAGCTACATCGCAGCCTGCTAGCCAGGTTTTTCGTTCGTACCAATTTTTGGAAAATCCTCGGGTGTAGGACTTTCCCCCTTTAGTAGAAACCTGTTGAATTATTAAATTTGGTCTGGGAGGTCCTAATTGTTTCGTTGCCAATTTATCTTGATTTGTTCGCCGACAAAAAGGAACTTCTTTCAAAGAGACAATCGAGTTGCACTGAACGCTAGCCATCTTGACAGTAGTACGTGAATTGATTGACGCTGCGACCCGCTCTTTTCTTAGTTATGTTCATGGTTATGTTACGTATGACGAAAGCGCGTAAGTGCAAGCCCTCCCGGAACCCATAGAGATTGTATTGAAAGCTCTGATATTTGAAAAAAAAAAGATTTTACATGAGAGTCTATGAGAGACTTCTGGGGCGATTTTCAACCTGACTGAAATCGCCCCAAAAGGGGTGAGGCCATTTGAAGCACGACTTTAGCCTGATTGGACATTTAATGGCAGATCAGACGTCTAGATTAGAACACTGATAACTACTGTTGCCGTGATATAATTGATTAGAAAAAAAATCCCTTCCTTTTCCCGTTTGGCAGTGCGTCGCCCATTTCGCCCTAATGAACACACCGCCCCTGATAACAACTTATGCCTGGCAACAGGGATGCGCCAAGGGACTGGGACCAGCCGGTGCGCCAACGGATAGGCTGAGTAAGTCTAAACCACGCTCAGTCTACTCTGATTGGCCAGCAGGGAGTGGGAAATATCTCTGTCAGAGTATTTGAAGAAGAACCTGTAACAATTGATTAGTTCTCTGAGTGCCCTGCGTGGTATTTCAGTGGACCAGTATATACGAACATCATATTTACCATTGAAGGTTTTGCATTAATTAAAATACTAGTATATCTTAGAAGTCGAGTTGACCTCTTTTGTCCCAAATACCAGATTTGAATTGACGCAACTTAACAAATAGCAGCACCATGGACACTGGAAGAAAATGATAGAATGGTTTGGTTAACTACTTCAACACATTCATAAATGTCAGAGGTTTGACGTCAGCTTAGTCAGTGACATGGCTGAATGCTGCACAGCACACTCACCTGAATGACGCAGGTACTACCAGGAGCAGTGTGAAGATCGAGAACATTCGGGAATCGCTCATTGTGCTGGTAAGAGGGGCACGAACTCCAGACTGTCAGTAACTTCTAATGAGATGGCAAAAATAACGTAGCTTCTGTGACGTTAGCTATTATGTAGCTAGCTAGTAGCCTAACGTTAGCTATCAGTTGAGTTCCAGAAGCATATTTACAGTAGCTAAAACCGATTTATAACTCATCCCAAACTTCAGTTTTCCATCTAAAACGTTTTGTCTTGGCAGAATTGTAGCCATCTTGAAATCATCGAAGTTCCTCCCTATGTCACCTGACCTGAGTGACATGCTTGAAGTGCTCTGACAAGCAGGCATTCAGGTCAGTTTGTAACTTTCTGGATCTTGTGTCTATGCTGTGAGTGACAATTACATTTCTACTGAAGGTCAATAATGTACTGCAGCTATGTTTCTATTTCTTGACATGCCAGGACAGTGTTTATATCATTGGGTAGCGCCACCTTTAAAAATAATTTTATTAAAACAATGTCAAACATAACAAAAATGAAGCAAACACCCTTAAGAATATTCGTAACAGTTAGGGAATGTTTTTGAGAATGAAAAAAAATGACCCAACAGGAACAGGTTGGATAACTAATCCTCTTATTACAAATGGAAGCAATATTTGTCAGCTAAAATAGATCAACATTTCCATGCCTATATAAGTCCACAATGCAGGCAAACCTGGCTAGCTGAGGTACGTACCGTTGTCTTTCACAAAAGATGACCCCCCCCCAAAAAAAAAAAATCAATTTTGAGAGTAACATAACATTGTGCCAAACATGACAAAACCGTGCGTAGTATAAACCATGTAAACCAAAAAACAACAAATCTATGTAGTGTGAAGTCTTTCTGGGATTATTATTATTATTATTATTAACTCATAATGTACCTGAGCAAAGAGAATTGGTTAGCTTGCTTGTGATTTTACTGAACAAGTAATTTTTTCTTAAACAAGTCCTGCAGACCTTCGTACTTCTTTCTTAGGCAAGGTTTTAGACCACCCTGCTCAGCACTGAGCTAAGCTTATAAATTAAATTAATAAATTACAAAAATAACGTAACAGCTGAAGTGTGTGAAACAGTTCAAGTATGACTCTAGAGAGCTCTAACTAAGCCACATAACACATGCTTCTGGGCCTGTATGTACCACCACATATTGGTTCACAAATAGTGCTTCTTCTAACAATAGTTCTGAATAAGCCAGAGACCCTGGTTGTCACTTCCGTCTGTTTCCAGTGAGGGGCAGTTCTACTAATGGATCACCTCTGGATAGCCTCAATGCATTTGTTGATGCTGCTTCCCTCAGTCTTCCAGCAGGGTCCTACTCCATGTAGTCGGAGCCTGCCATGGCCATGTAGGAATCCAGCTCTGCGTCTAGGTGGCTCTTGGTCATTGACATGTAGTTGTCTAGTTGGTTGTCCAGCTCCTCTTTGGTGGGGATTTTTTCAGGTTTGCCCATGCCTCGGCACCGGAACCCTCCCCGGCCCCGCAGGCCCAGACCCGCTCCTCTGCCTGGGTAGGGACGACAAGACATGAGGGAGGGCAGTGGGAGAAGGGAGGGCAGAGTATGCACAGTTAAGAGAGTGCAAGAGTTCTCGCACCTCTTCCTCTCAGGCCCAGTCCATTCCTGGCTCCGCGGCTCACCAGCACTCCAGCATTGTTCAGCTGGCCACCTTGCAGCCTCAGGCCCTGACGAAACCTAAGCTTAGTCACCCCTCCCCGGGCACGCATCTGATTCACACCTGAACGAGAGAGGGATATATAAAGTTAAACTGGCTCCAACTGTATTACAGTTGAACAACACAGTACACCAAATACAGAGATAAACAAAAAGGACACCCACCTCTGAAAGCATAGCCACCTCTCAAAGCATAGCCACCTCTCAAAAAGCCCCATCTGTTGTTTCCACGCACTCTGAATGCTCCTCGGTTCATCCCTCGCAGTCCCCTTACAGCAAACCCTCGGCTTCTGGTGGCCCCCCGCATCAGGGTCCCCATGGGCCGACCTAGCCTTGTCAGGACGTTGCCCTTCCCCAGGCGCTGCTTCAGGCTCTGTGGGACATCGGAACGTACCAACAGAGTTAGGGTGCATTCCATTAAAATGTAATCGATGAACTGAAAGTAAAGACATGACATGCCCAGGAGGTGGCGCCCTTGGTTTCAAAATTCAAATTAAACTTCAATGCTTCTAATCTAGTCCACGTTTTCATTTCTCTGGTCTCTTCTTAAAAAGGAAAAAAAATAGTGATACTGGGGTAGTTCTGATCTGTGGTGCGTTCAGTACGACAGAACAGTGTTCAACTTTAATTCAACGGAAACAATTCTGAACGACCAGTTGAAGAACGGTATGATTATGGTGGGGCAGAGGGAGATTGTGTATGAACAAAGATGGTATAGTGTGTGCTGCACAAGTTTTGAAATTTCAAAATGGTCACACCCATATTGATCAGGCCACACCCACCAAACATACCTCAAAGGCTGTTGAAGAACAGTGCGCACCATTTTGGGGAAACGTGCCCTTCAGTACAAACCGTCACAGAACGTTGCATCGAACTGAATGCAGCCTTGGATTAGTGACACTGACACTTAATCTAACAGACTAACCTAGACAAGTTGAAAAGTGGATGGTTAGTTCCCTCACCTTGGGCTGCAGGGCGGCCTGCACAGAGGTCCTGTTCTCCATCTGCAGAGCCAGTCTCCTGTTGCGGACACTGGCCACTTGCTGCTGCTGCATGTTGGCTTGTACATCCACTGGCTCCGGCTGCTTGTTCTTCAGCATAGTCGTGAAGCTTGGAGGAGCAGGGTTTGAGGGATAAAGGAGGATAGAACATACTTAGCATACTACTGTACCATGTAGTTGCATTCCCCTGCCCAGCCACTTACTGCCTATACAATGCACTTGTGTACATGGGGTGAAGTCCCCAATTAACCAGCTGTAGCTAGATGTCTAGCAAACAGACAGGTTTGGCCTTTGACTCATGATTTTGTATCAACGGGGAAGAATGACTGATAAGACAAAAGACACTTAGTCATAACAGGGTTTGCAATTAGCAAGATATGGAGTACAGGAGGTGGCCTCTAAACTCATCACCACTGGCTTATGGTAGTCTCACCGATCGTTGAGGGAAACTGAGGTGCTTTTCAGCACGATTTTCTCTGTTGGGGAGGTCATTGCGTCTGTTTGTTGATACATTTCTGTGAGACAATCAATTGGGAGACCGAAATTATACTGCAATGGAACAAAAGCATAACTTTAGTTGGTAGCTACTGTGACAAAATTTGAGAATTACCTAATGTTAGGCTAGGAAACTACCTTGTAACATGAAATCGTTTAAAACACATACTAGCAAGCTGTTCTCCTTAATTCGTTTGACATGATGCTGGCTTGGTCGGCAAAATGTTGCTAATTTGCTGCTATGTGAGATGGTAGCTAAACTTCAAACTAGATAAACCTACTAACTAGGTTTTTATCAAGTTTTGAGCACAATGCTTTTCCTCACCTTTTAGAACAGCACTGGCAGATAGAAAAGATGCTAGCTAAAATGTGGTTAGCCGCCCACTCTTGACTGTCCGCACCAAAGACGCACCTGCACAACATAAAATAAAAGTTACTCTCAACTAAGGAAAGCCTCAAGCTTCATACCGTAGTTACCGCCCAAAATATAAACGCAAGAATTCAATCAAACTCGCACTGTTATTCGACCACAATGCGGAAAATATCAAATGTACGTTTACAAATCAAGAACTGATGAAAGGTTGCATTTTTGCAGTATATAGATCATTAATTTGACTAAGACCCCAAATAGACAATAACTTTTTAAAAAATATATGAAAGGTAAGGACACTGTCCAAGTAACTTATCTAAGATTCCAAAACGGTACACATATATTTTGCTGCATAACATTGGAATTGAGGAACAGAGGGCCAAGCAGCAATGGTGCTACCGGAGCTATGTAAAAACATTTGTGTGTAAAGTAGCACATATGCAGAAGGTACGGTTGTTTTAGCTTTCTTGTAGAGGTGTCCGGGGAGTCTGGTAATACAGCCACTCCGTTCCCTATTTAGTACAGTGCGATTTGTGACTCAAATTCAAACCATATAGTGTGTGCCCTAATAGCCTAGCTGGGGGAGAGAGGGAGGTACAATTTACCAGAAACCCCCCTTTTCCTGGTAAAATACCTGATAAACTATCCACCTACTACTATCTTTATATTCTAGCCTGGTGTATTTATTGTAAGTGCAACACTACCCTTCTGATTTCCCATAAGGTAAATGCAACACATACTTGAAACAAATCATCCACTTTATGTAGCCAGCAGATTATCTAAAACACCATTAGTCTATAAAACACAAACTGTGGATTTTTAAAATATACCTTTGAGAAAAAAAAGTGACTATATACTCCTCTATGCAAGAGCCTAACTGGCTTTTGTGAAGCCTACAAAAAATAATAAATTACAGTAAAAAAGTGTCAGCCACTAGAGGGCAGCACAGTCTCATATTTAACAGCTATGGAAATATACCGTTATTGGCAGTAATGTCCGATTTTCTTGGCAGAAATGGTACTGATCAAGTAATTTCTAAGACAATGGTCATACCCATTGGATGTATATTAGATGTATTAGATGTGTATGTATGCATGCATGTTTTGGACTACAGCTAGCTATAACTACGGCAGAATATCCAAGCCATACATACAGCCTCATGATGATGTTGGCTGTTGTGCTTTTTATCCTGGTGAAGTTATTTTCATGAAATTGGAGGTCCATTACTGCGTTACTGTGCTCAGTAGTGATGTGTTTAACTACTAATGTGTATTTTTTTCACATATTGCCTTGGTGAAATACAATTATTAATGCGGACCTCTTCATTGGTATGGACCATTGTGGGATTCTTTCCAGCAAGCTATGTTTCTTTGACGTCAGAAATGAATGCGGCTGATGCCCAACCATAGAGAATGATAGAGGCCTAGTAGTGGCCAAAAGACTTTATTAGCATGGGCAGCGCCATTGAGGGCTTCCACCATTTTAATGTAGTCTACTGGGTGGAACTTCTAACTTCATGGACATGATTCTAACAGGTTCACCAGGAAGGATCAGCCAATCATGAAGAAGAAATGGACTACTTTAAAATGGAGATAGTCTCAATGGCGCTGCCCATGCTGTCACAGACCCTATAATACCACATATACAAAAATGAGTCTTCTATCTATCTCTATGTGCCCAACACACTTACTGCGCCGCCGCAACCGTTTCTGGGAGGAGAACGATTTCGATGAGGGCTGCAATTCAATCCCAGGAACGTTGCAATGCCTTGTTTCACTGATGAGGTTTGGGCATAGGCATGGTGTGAGTGTTGTTGGTAATCGCAAAGGAGGAGGATAAGATTCGCTAATAATACACTTTATCGAGGGTAGAAGGAAGGACATGATTTATTATCCAGTATACTAGCTAACTAAAGATTTCGTCTTGATGTTTACTGGAGAGAGAGTGGTAAGTCCGACCAGCCGTTGTTAGCTTGTAGCTAGGTTAGTTATCAGTATCTTTGAGGTAACGTTACATTAGCTCAATTTACGTTAACCAACGTTCGTTCATACAATTATTTGAGGAAATTACAATTGAATCGGCGCCGCCAGCTGAGTTTATCCAACGTCAAAATATGTTGTGACCCAGTAATACCTAGCTAGTTAACTAGCTAGCTACTGTTAGATAGCTAACGCTTTACTCGGTGAATGAACGAGGCACTCGTACCGTAACGTAGCTAACACCTGGCCTATCTAGCTGTTTCTCTGTCTCATGATGGAAGCTAACGTTAGCTAGCTAGCCAACTGCTTCCATGGACTAACTAATTTAAACATTAGCTAGCCAAGTATAATCCTCTCTGACAAATAGCTAGTTAACTAACTTTTAGCCACTTTAAATTGACTAGCTAGCTAGCTATCGTTTGCTAAGTTAGTACGCTAGCTACTGTAGCTTGTCATAACAACCAAATCACCTGACCTGATGATCCCATTTAGCTATTGTGTGGTAGTTAAAATAATAACGTTAACTAACTAAATACTTTCCAATTTCTGTAACTAGTAGTTATGTTCCCTGTATGCATGCATTAGCAGTACAGTATTGGCTTCAATTCATAGGTACATTGTCATTGTAGCTAGCTAGGTATTTAGTAATGTGTGGTGTCGGTTATGGCTACATTTTCAAGAGGGAAATACTGTAGCGTCCATTGATTATGAATGAAGGATCGTCTTTGAGGCACGGGTGTCTTTGAATACATACAGCCATGTGGGGTTAATGACTGCATTAACTAAATCCTACCAGTATAACCTGCAAATAGGCTAAACACAATTGTCCAGTCAGTAAAAATTCCTTGCAACTTTGTAGTTCAGTGAGTCTAAGGCTAAATGTTACAGATATTAAATCGAGACAGCCGGTGCTGTAGAGAAAGAGTCGAAAACAGCAGGTCCGGGACAAGGTAGCATGTCCGGTGAACAGGTCAGGATTCCCTAGCCGCAGGCAGAACAGTTGAAACTGGAGCAGCAGCACGTCCAGGTGGACTGGGGACAGCTAGAAGTCATCAGGCCAGGTAGTCCTGATCCTAGGGCTCAGGTCCTCCGGGAGGGGAGGGAGAGAATTAGAGGGAGCATACTTAAATTCACACAGGACACCAGATAAGACAGGAGAATTACACCAGATACAACAGACTGACCCTAGCCCCTCGGCACATAGACTATTGCAGCATAGATACTGGAGACTGAGACGGGTGGGTCGGGGGACACTGTGGTATATGTCCAACATCACAATTGTCGTTTTTCTTCATGTATCTACCAGCTTCACTGCTAGACCCTATCAGGGGTGTAATCATTACTCCAAACAGTCGCAAAACGTTCTGTTTTGCAACGAAAACTAGCATTTCTATTGGACAGATTCAGGTAGGGCCCTAACTGTTTGCTGAACCTGCCCAATAGAAACAGTAATTTCTGTTGCAAAACAGAACGTTTTGCAACTGTTTGAAGTAATGATTACACCCCAGTACAAATCTGTGAGAATGTTCCAAGCTGAAGGTTTGAGTCAGGTGGTAGGCCTTATTTCCTTAAAGTCACTTTTAAGTGAAGTTTTGTTCTGTTGATATTCTGACTTGATTTTCTCTCATTGTGACTCTTAGGAAGCGGGCATCATGGGCACGACATTAACATCCAACGTGTTCAAGTAAACTGGACCCACGAGACTGCTTAAAACCCATCCCCAGCCATGGCAGGCTTCAAGCGAGGGTATGACGGCAAGATCGCAGGGCTCTATGACCTGGACAAGACGCTGGGCCGGGGCCACTTCGCCGTGGTCAAACTGGCGCGCCACGTCTTCACGGGGGAGAAGGTGGCGGTCAAGGTCATCGACAAGACCAAGTTGGACACGGTTGCCACGGGTCACCTGTTCCAGGAAGTGCGCTGTATGAAGCTGGTGCAGCATCCTAACATCGTCCGGCTCTACGAGGTCATCGACACGCAGACCAAGCTCTACCTGATCCTGGAGCTGGGCGATGGAGGAGACATGTTCGATTACATCATGAAGCACGAGGAGGGCCTCAGCGAGGAGCTGGCCAAGAAGTACTTTGCCCAGATCGTCCATGCCATCTCCTACTGCCACCGGCTGCACGTGGTGCACCGTGACCTCAAGCCGGAGAACGTGGTGTTCTTTGAGAAGCAGGGCTTGGTGAAGCTCACTGACTTTGGCTTCAGCAACAAGTTTCAGCCAGGGAAGAAGCTCACCACCAGCTGTGGCTCGCTGGCCTACTCTGCCCCAGAGATCCTGCTGGGAGATGAGTACGATGCTCCGGCAGTAGGTAAGAAATCTAAGCTTGTAAGCCTGGATACATTAGATGGATGCCGTTTGACGCTGTCTGCCATAGATAGCTTACCTCCTAGAGTCATAGTTTGATTGTATTGACCTGGACTGGCTGTAATCTTTGGCACTTAGTCTAATAGGCACGTGTTGAAAACCCTTCAAGGTAATGGCCTCGTATCAGCAAGCTCACAACCCTGTGTCATGGGGCCATGGTGATTCTGTGAGATTGTTGCATGGACTTGAGCGCTAAGGATCACGTAGTCTAAAAAATGTGCTGTATGCTGACCTTTGACATTGCCTTACCGTAGCCTAGAAAGGATTACTTTTGTGT